TGGGACCAATTTTTAAATGTACCACTAAAAACTTATATAATATCATTGAATATGTAGTTATATTATTTCTATGCGTAGTTGGTACTACTAAATGAATATATAGTACCATTGAATGAATATATAGTACCACTGAATGTTCAATGATACTATTTGATCATCTAGTGATACTATTAATCACCCAGTGGTACACTTAAATCCAGCACGTGAGGGTAAGAGAAAAGGAGGAGAGAGATGGGTAAATTTCATACAAAATGTCTCAAATACCCCTTGATATGTATATACAAGTACCTATCAAACCTCCCTTTAAAAGGCCTCCGTGCAACCTTTCATTGTTGATGAAATTAAAACCTTATTTTATTTTTATTTAATTTAATAATGGGGTTGGTTAAAAAATTTAGCAGTAAAGTAGTTTTTTTAATTTAGGTTGATGAAATTGATACGAGGCTACGGAATTCTCGTCACTTCTGGCTTCTGACTTCTGATCAAATTCTACTTTTTCTTAGGCATATGCAGCGCACAATTATAATGTTACTGCTCCCGTACCCCGTATCATTCTGGTACTGCGGAGTACGAGTATAAATACTAATACTCCGTATATACCTCCTAGGTTTTTTAAACGTTTAAAATTTAGACATCTTTTATATTTTGTATACCAGTAATTTAGTGAATAAAACACACTTTAAATATCACTTTGATAACTTTGTTATTTTATATTGGACCAAGTTTATTATGTGGTCTACCTCTTATATTTTTCATTTCACACAATATGTCATTACTAATTCATGAGATGTTGATTGGTGACCTATCTAATTTAATATTTCAAAAGAAATATGTAAAGTAAAATCACAACTTTAGCTGAAAGTACACATTTTTATGAGTATGAATAATTGTATTAAACCACATTTTTTTTTTCTTTATTTATATATAAATTTATCTCTACATTTATAATATTGACCATTTCACTTTGTTTTAATTATAAATAGACCTTGAATATCTATATCATAGGGTTTGAATTTTGCATTATATTAAGGTGATGTTTATTTTAATTTCTAAATAATTAAGCCAATCAATGGTCATGGTAGATGATGACAATGTACTCGTACCAAATAGAAGTTAAAATCCTCAAACTAAATGAATTAATTATGATAAGCAACTCATTACTAAACATGGAAAGCAACCAAATATAGCATAAAATTGGGATATTATTCCAGCTAATCAACGTGATGAATAGTGCATGGGTGTTTGGCGACTGCTGGTCTCAATAATTAATGCCAATTATAATACTAATCGCTAAATTGTAAAGCAATCTAAGCCGTCGATTAAATACTGGCCAGTCAAAGATTCCAACATATACTTCTCGGAACTTCCGTTCGATATGGGATTTTTTTAATCTGCTTCTTGTTTGTATTTTTTTTTTTTTTTTTTTGGTTGGTTCCTCTAGATTAGCTTAATTACAGTACTACCAGCATGTTATAAATAAAATAACTTTACCATGGTATACTTTTTAAGTCAAGAATTTTCTTATTAGCTCTTCCTCTCTTATCACTCGGATCTTTAAATCTGAGAAATATACAGTGTATTACTCTATATCACCAACTAGTTTTCAACATTGTATAAAAATGATTGTGAAAGTTACAGTTTTTTCAAAAGTTAACTGTGACATACAATCTTTAAAATTAAATAACTCTTTGATTTATTCAAGTAAATCATGAATATGTTCTTATTTTTACAATTTTACAAACATTAATTGTATAATTATATATAAGATGTTAAAGTATAACTAATTGTGTTACATACATAACATATATACATGCAAAGTATAACTCTTTATAGAATTGATCAATATAAAATGTTAATCATGGCAATCACAACCAATCTTCAATAATTTGAAGAGATAATATAGTAATGTCCACCATGTTGGTCAACTTTTAAGCATTTTTTGACAAAGTCCTTTTAACTAAACTCATGTTTTAATTGTCTCATCCTCTATATTTTATGATGAATACCTAAATCTAAAGCCAAGAATATTCCATTATTATTTCAAAGGGAAATTGTTTCAACAATAAAAGTAAAGGTAGGTGTTACATTGAGAAAACTTATCAATAAATGTTGTCATCAATTAATTATTATGACATACAAGTATTTATTTGTTTTGTTCATAATACTCCGTATTACTTATTAGCTTATTTCTACAACGGGCAGAATATACATACAATATTCTAATACAACTTTTACCATTTACTCTGTATTACATATACTTCCTCTGTTTTAGGTATAATACAATTTGTTGACTATTTTAATACTCACATACTTTATGTTAATTGTAATATAAACTGAAATAAATGAAAGAAGTAGTTTGATTAGTGCAATAATTAATTTCAAACTAATGTAAATAAAACTAAGAGATTAATTTTGATGTATTTTATCTATCTAATAATAAAAAAATAACAAACTTGTTACTGTTTAGATATATATTGCGTGCAAAGCCATACACTAGATCCTGGTATTATATGTAAAATAAATAAATAAATAAAATAAAAATAAAAAATCTTATGAATGAGTTGAAACTAGGGTGGCTTGATAAGCATATGTTTCTTGGATATGGGATAAATAATATAAATATTTTTAATAAATAAGAAAATAGTGAGAAAAAAAAAAAAAAAAAAAAAAAAGAATAAGAATCTCCAAACCATCTCCACATGGGAATAATATCTATGGAAGATTGAGAGCCCATTAACTAAACAGCTGCGCACCAAGTCTCGGTCTCCAACTTGTTTGAAGAAATGAAGTGGTTCACAAGCATAAGTTGCATAACCAATATACAATTATAGTGTTATATGGAGTACGGAAAAGTTCTCACCATGGAAAACACAAAAAAACTCGATGAAACCCAAAATTATACTGAAGAACAGGATCAATTGATCCGATCAAACAAAAAACCAAAACGTAAAAGTACAAATTCTATTCCTAATCCATCTAATGGAGATGATGAGGAAATGGCAGATGCTGAAAATGGAATGAATAGGGGTAATGGAAATCCTCTGGTTCCTCCCCAATTGAATCAGAAAATCATCCAACCTGGAGGATCCATGTCGTTCAGAGATATCATGCAAAGGGATAAACAGGCTGAGGTATATTCACATGATATCAATATAATTGATGAAGAGGAGGATGAATAGATATCTGATGATGAAGAAATCCCTGATGAAATTCAAAATGATGAACGGTGTCCTGTCATCCAATTATCCTAAGGAGGAGAAAAGAAGGTTGCGTAAACCTTGGAAGGATTCCCTAATAATTAAAATGTTCAGTGGAAAATTAGGATACATGAGTTTAATGCGCAGACTCAAGATAAAATGGAACATTAGAGGGGAGCTTTCGCTAACTGATTTTGGCTGCAATTATTATATTGCAAGATTTACAAATCAAGCGGATTATTCCTATGTGCTCACTCAGGGACCTTGTTTCCTCGATGATAATTATTTAACCATTCGAAAATGGATTCCTAATTTTGTCCCTGATGAAACCCCGATTACGGTGTTGACCGCTTGGGTGCGTATTCCTAACCTTCCTGTGGAATATTTTGACATAAATTTCCTGAGCAAAATTGGTTCTAAAATTGGAAAAGTGCTGAGAGTTGGCAAAACAACTGCACAAGCGGAACGAGGCCAGTTTACTCGTCTAAGTGTTGAGATTGACTTAACCAAGCCTTTATTGTCAAAATTCTAGTTGAAAGGTCGGATATGGCGAGTGCAATATGAAGGAATCAAAATGGTCTGTTTTAGGTATGGAAAATTAGGTCATTCAGAGGATGCTTGTCATACCAATGAGATTGCTAATACAGAAGGTGAGATGATAATTCATGAGAACCCGCTTCACAATCAATCTCATAAACCAGAGGAGACTGGAGATTTTGGATCTTGGATGTTAGTTAAAAAACCAATGAGAAAAAGAAATCCAAAAGTGGATAAGGGTGGTTCTGGTGGTGGCACAACCAATTTGGGTGGTGTGAAGGTGGCAGGGAATTCAAATTCGATGGAAGGGGGTAAAAACGGAAACAATATTCCTACAAATATTGTTGACAATAATCCGGGGATTGGCTCGAGATTTTTGGTTCTTCAAAATCAAGAGGAGGCAGAAGTTGAGGGAAATAAGGAAAAAAAATATGGTAACAGAGGATTTAGATAATATTGAGAGTGATATGGATGGAAATATTCCTAGTACGATAAACTTGGGAGGTTTTTTTCAAAGATTGCAACCAACTGATAGAACACAATCTTTTGTAAAGGCAAAAAATATCAACTCCAATCAACTCAAGTCAAAACAGAGGAAAAATCTCCCCAAAGTTTATCAAGAAAAAGGAGTAAAATCCTCACAGAATACCAACGCCCCTCTTAAAGAAATTGATGCTAATGTAAGAGTCCCTGCTTCTACTTGTGGCAAGTCTTCAAATACAGGAAAAGAAAATTCACCCTTTCTATTTAAGCTAAATCAAGAAGCACAGCCTCAAGCCAATTTAATCACACCACAGGCCAACAGCAAGCCCTCTCAAGTTCTTCCTGAGCTAGACAACTCTATATCCCATGTCTCAAACTCCATTCCCAATCAAGCTTACGGTACCTCTGGAGAAGATTCTGTGTATGGGACAGGTGCTGGAGCAACCATACCTCGTAACCACGAACCCCCTGATTCATGTACTCGAAGTCCAGATGGATTCATTCCTACCCCCAATCTCGGATCCCCCGGACTTGGTGATGACAATGAAACCAACCAATGAAATTAATCAATTGATTAGGCTGTTAAGTCAAGCTTACATGACCACTCTTACTTCTATCCCTGTTTTTATGGAAGAAAGACTACCTAATTTGGCTCCGGACTCTTTACCTATAACCTGCTTAGTATGGAATGTGCAAGGTGCAGGGAATAATAATTTTATCTCTTCGTTGAAGGACTTAGTTAGGGCTAACTAGCCTAATGTACTTGTGTTGGTAGAAACGCACATGGGAGGGGATCAAGCTCTTAAGATTTCTTCCATTCTCGGTTATTCTGGCCATTCAAGAGTTGATGCCATGGGTTTTCGCGGTGGAATTTGGGTGTACTGGCGGCCTGAGTTTGTCACTGTAAGCCCCATCATAAAACATAATCAACATATTACAATGGAAATATCTAGAGTGGGCGCTACTCCTTGGTATTTTTCGGCTATTTATGCGAGCCCTGATCCATTGAAAAGAAGGGAATTGTGGGAGGATCTTAAGAAGTTTGCGACTTCTCATAACAAACCTTGGATGTTGGCTGGTGACTTTAATGATACAAGGTTCCCTTCCGAAAGAAATAGTTCCTGTTCCAAAACCACGAGAAGGTCTAAAAAATTTAATGCGTGGATTGAGGATATGGACTTATTAGAGGTTGAATTCTCCGGAGCAGCTCATACTTGGGCGCGTGGTTTAAATCCTGAAACAAGGAGGAGTGGTCGGCTAGATCGAGCACTATGAAATGAACATTGGGCTTTGAGGATTTGAGAAGGATTCCATGAAACATCTATCGGCAGTTTACTCGGATCATTTCCCAATATTTATTTCTCCGAATGGATTCTCTCCCCTCCAATCTCTTCACCGTCCATTCAAATTTCAAGCATCCTGGCTCTTACACGAAAAATTCCAGAATTTTGTCAAAGACAAATGGGAAGAAAACAGACCCCTCATGCCTGCTCTTTCTAAACTCTCTAGCGATTTGCAAAACTGGAATCGTGAAGTATTTGGGAATATTTTCAAGCAGAAAAGGTCATTGCTTGCTTGTATTGGTGGAGTGCAGAAAATTCTAGCTACTCGGGTTGATAGGGGCTTATTAAAATTGGAAGCAAAGCTTAGAAGAGAACTTGATGAAATTTTGAGTAGAGAGGAGACTCTTTGGTATCAAAAATCTCGTATTGATTGGTTAAAGGATGGTGATCGTAACACTACATTCTTCCACTTAAGTACCATTGTCAGAAGATGGAGGAACAAAATAGTGGCTCTTAAAGATAATAACGGGGTATGGATTCAAGATAAAGGGGATATTCAAAATCATATAGTAGAATATTTCTCTACTCTTTTCACTGAGGAAGGAGAACCAGAGTTTTTGGATATTCCTTGTGATGTATTTCCCGAACTCTTGGCGCATGACTGGAATTTTCTTTGTAGACCATATTCAAAGATGGAAATTGACAGTGTTATTAAGGAGATGAGTGCTCTTAAAGCCCCGAGCCCCGATGGATTTCAAGCCCTTTTTTATCAAAAAAATTGGGATATTGTAGCTAATAATGTATATGCTACAATCATTCCAATATTAGAGGGTAAGGGGTTCCCTGATGAATTAAATAGCACATTCCACTAGTAGAAAAATACAAAAAGGCACCGTTCTATGGCCATCGATTTTTGAAAACCGGTGGCTTAAAAAATGGGCGGGATAGGCTAATTCACATTGCCACTGGTTCAAACTGAACCGGTGGCATAAATGGTAAAGGCCACCGGTTTGAACCCGTGGCAATAATCAATTAAAAAAAAAACGCCCCCCTTATAAACCCCAAACCCTACCTCATTTCCCTCTCAGCCGTTCTTTCTCTCTCTTGCTCTCCCCTGTCCTCTTTCTCTCTCCTGCTCTCCCCTCTCCTCTTTCTCTCTCTTTCTCTCCCCTCTCTTATTTCTCTTTCAATTCGACTGCTCTGTTCTCTTGCTCGTCTCCTTCTCCCTCTTCTCCTTCGTCTCCCATCACCAATAAACCACAAAGACATGCACCACGAAGACATGCACGAGGTTTGTGTTTAAAATCGATTTTTCTTGGTTAATTAATCGGATTTTGTTGGGTTTAATTGATTGATTTTCTGGGTTTAATTAATCGTTTTTGGAATTGTTTGAGTTTCTTAATCGATTTTAATTTGGTTTTTAATCGATTTTAATCAATTAATTCTGGGTTTTTGTTTTTTGAGTTCGTGAATCAATTTCTTGTTTTTTTCCTCGGTTTTTTAACTTATTTCTGGGATTTTGTTTTTATTTTTGTTTAATTTTTTTTTCCTGGGTTTTCTTCTAGGTTTTTGTTTCATTACTAGTTATTGATTTTCCTGGGTTAATTAGTCGATTTTGGATTTTTTGAGTGTTTTCATCGATTTTAATTCGATTTTTAATTGATTTTAATCGATTCTAAGTCGATCTCCTTCTGGGTTCATTCGATTTAATTATGGTTTTTTTTTTTTGAGTTCGTGAAAATCAATTTGTTTTTTTTTTAGTTCGATTTTTTTATTTAGTTCGATTTAATTCTCGGGTTTTCACTAATTTCTGGGAATTTTGTTTAAATTTTTTTTCTGTTTTTTTTTTTCTTTTTTTTTTGGGTTTTAGTTTTCTGGGTTATTTTTCTGGGTTTTTGTTTAATTTCTGGGTTTTGTTTATATTTTTGTGTGTTTTTTCTGGGTTTATTTAACCGATTTAAATCGATTTATGGGTACCATGCATACTGGTCTGGTTTTATTTTTATTTCGCAGCTTATTTATTTTATTTAATCGATTTTTTTTGTTTGATGCAAGTATATTGATTTAGATGTAGATGTTAAATCGAAGAATAAAGATGCTGGATTATTGATTTAGGTGTTATATGGGTTATTTTTTAATTTTAATGTTGTAATTTTTTTTTTTGGTTTTTTATTGTAATTTTTTTTTTTTGATTTTAATGTTGGAATTTTAGTCTTGTGTAATTTGATTAATTTAGTTCTTTTAAGTTGGAATTGTTGTATGAGTAATTTAGTTGTAGTTATTAATTTAGTTTTTTCACTCTTAAAAAGTGTACAATTACTAGATACTGATGAATATATATGTGTTTTTATGTATTTTACATATATATATAGTTTCTACTACAATTTAAGTGAAATAAATGCAATTTTATTTTTTTATGGGCATTATTGCCACCGGTTAACCGGTGGCAATACTTGTTAATACCATTAAAAAAATACTTGTCCTGCAGGTGGGGGTGGAATAATTAGAGATCACTAGGGTCGATTCATTTCGGCTTTTGCTGCTAATTTTGGACATTGCAATGCTTTTCGTGCTGAGATTCTAGCTCTTGCTAGGGTTCTAGACCTTGCTCAAAACCTCCAGATTAAACATCTCGAAATTCAACTAGACAACTTAGCTTGTGTTCAACTCATGCGTAATGGAGAAGCAGGTAGTGGAGCGAATGCTCATGATATAAATCACTGCCTTTCGAAGCTAAGGGATGCTAACTGGGAAATCAAGGTTAATCATATCTACAGAGAAGGGAATCGAGCGGCGGATTGGTTGGCCAACCGCGGAGTCTTGTTAGACACATATTTAGTCATTTTTAATTATATTCCGTTTGGTCTTAGTAGTATTATAAGTGAGGATGCTAGGGGAATATCTTTCCCACGCTTAATTCCTCCATAGGGTTGCTTTTATTTTGCTTTTCTGTTCTTTTGTTTCTGTTTCTTTCTTGGACTTGTTCCTCATATGGACCAAAAAAAAAAAAAAAGTTGCATAACCAAGTTCGAGGCCTTCCCTTTTAAAATAAATAAATAAATTATTATTATTATTATCCGTCCTGCCTTTTATTGGACTGATTTCTAGATACTTACATGTGACACATTTAAAAATATTACTCCCATATGTATACGGACTGAAACCACTTTCTTGTTATTTGATGATTGCTTTATTTGACTTTTAACTAAAATGAATCTTAAAACGTGATATCTTCATTTTCGTATGAATAATGATAAAACAAATCCAACAAAGTTAGTACTTATGGCCTGTTCTCATTTACTGAATTCAGCTGAACTGAACTGAACTGAATTGAAATGAATATTTAATAAGAGAAGGAAATTCAGGCCCTTAGTATGTTATCAATTATCAGTAGTATATTTTATTGAAATTTTACTGTTAAATTGCAATACAACAGAGAATTTGCTACCAGATAATTAATTATTCACTGTACAATCGATGATACCATGTATATGTTACAACCTTTTAAAATTTTCTTTTCTTAAACTCCTCCTATAAACATATAATAAAAATATTGTGTGACTGATTGTACAATAAAAGGTTACTCTAACGAGTTCTGCATTTAACACTAGAATATAATAGTACTCCGTATTTCACATGTATGTATAATTTTTATAAAGGGGCAAATGGGTTTGAGTTCCATATATACTCCGTAGTAGATTGAATTTAGAGGCAGGATTTGATCGACGTGGAGAAGTTTATACCTATGCATTCCTAATTTAGGAAAACCCCACTTTCTATAGTTAGACAAATAACATCCAACCCACACACACTATTTACTTAATTTCACATTGTCCACTCGCCCAGCCGCGGGCCCGCGTCACTGTTGATAATCAATAAGGGTTTTGTCAGTCAACATTGTTTTACAAACTAACATTAGTATTTTTTTTTTTTAACTTATTCAATTTATTTATAGCACTAATTATTTAGTACGGATTACTAATATAAGATGGTAAAATATTTTGTGCTGTAACAACAATTAGCAAGGGTGTTAAGATTTGGCAGTTTCAATACGACCTTATTGTGTATGCTTAATTGAATTTTCCATTGAATGAAAAAAAAAACATGATTAATGGCTGACTAATAATCACATAAGTACAAGGCAACTACTAGTGGTTGTTAAATCATGCAAAGCATGAGATGTAAGTTGTTTAGAAAAGAATACTGATGTGTTGGGTTGCATAAAAATTTAAAACATGTTTAGTGTGTTAAATTGTTATTACATCTCATTGTGAAGTGATGTGGTATGTATCCTAGGCAGTGGAGTACTTCCAATCATTTAATACTCATATTTAAAATGCATAGTAGGTTACGATTCTTACAGGGAGTTTTACAAATTAAAAACACTGAATTTAGACAGGTAACTTTCTCCATTTTGTGAAAGTGGAAATTAAGATGTGCAACTTCTTATTTATTTGACAACTATCACTTCCGTTTCAAAATAATAGATACGATTTGACTTTATGTAATATCTATTAACTTTAACCATATATCACGAGTTTTAATTATATTAGGTAAAGTGCTATTAAATTAGTATTCCGTATTAATTGTATCAACTTTTTATAATATTTTACTAATGTAATGTGTATTTTTAAATAGTACTCCCTCTTTTGTTGTAATAATTACAACACTTTGACTTTTGCACTATTTATATGTTTATTATGACTTCTTTTTTTTTTATCAATTTATTTATGACATATATTGTCATGTAATATATTTTTGGATTAGTTTCATTAGATCAAGCTTTTATACTTTTTAATAATACATAATAACAAATATTATTGGTTACAATTATGCATTGACATATATGCTGATCAAAATCAAGCTACGTACTAAATATACTGTCAATCATTCCAAAAGGAAAAGAGTTATGTACTCTACTAATCCGTACTGTAATAAACAATAAACTTTACCTCGAAGTACAACAACAAATCTATCCCATAAAAAAAAAAAAAAAAAAAAAAAAACAGCATCCCAAAATAAACCATAGTTAGCATGTTAACCATAGAAATAGGAACTATAGTTAGTGGCACGAGATTGGTAAGTTTAGAAAGAGAGAGAAAGTGAAGAAAGACAGAGAGAGAAAAGAGAGCTCTCTAATATCGCCCCCTTCGTCTCTCTCTCCTCCCACCCTCATTTCTCAATCTAAGTGTTTTTTTTTTTCTTTCCTAAAAAAATTAAACAAATAAAGCTTCTTCTCTTCAATAAATTCTTCTCAAATTTGAGAGATTGTTGTCATTTTCTGGGGAAAATCTCAATTTAATTTCTGAGCTTTTGCTGTATTTGGAATCCTCCACTGTTGGGTGTGCTGCCCAGAAACTCATTTTCTCTCTCTAAATCTTCTCTCAAGCTGCCTGGTTTGTATTCATCTATTTTTGAAATATTGTACTTTTTTTTGAAGTTTTCATCTTTTTTTGTTGTTGTATCATTGATGTTTGATTGACTATTTCTGGGTAATTTGAAAAAGGAAATCTATAAGATCTGAGAATAAGTGGGTACTTTGTTAATTGAATTTTGACGGATTTGTTTGTACTATATATAGAAATATTAAAGGGGTAGAAATGAAGTGGTGGGCATTTGTTTGTAATTTAGGGTTTTTGACTTTGCTGTTGGAGATTTGAATTGGGGTTTTAGTAAAATTAAAAGGGGATAATAAAATTAGGGATTAAATTAAAGAAATGAGAAATATTGAACTGGGTATGGGAGGAGGGGTAGTGTGGAATGAAGAAGATAAAGCAATGATCGCCTCTATATTGGGTACTCGAGCTTTTGATTACCTGATATCAAGTCCATTTACGGCTGAGACTTCTTTGGTGAGTCTTGAGAACAATGAGAATATCCAGAATAAGTTATCTGATCTTGTTGAGAGGCCAAATGCCTCTAATTTTAGTTGGAATTATGGGTTTTTCTGGCAAATTTCGAGGGCGAAATCGGGGGAGGTGGTTCTGAGCTGGGGGGATGGTTATTGTAGGGAGCCGAGGGAAGGGGAAGAATCGGAAGCTACCCGGTTATTGAATTTTCGGCTTGAGGATGAATCTCACCAGAAGATTAGGAAAAGGGTACTTCAGAAGTTGAACACATTGTTTGGAGGCTCTGATGATGATAACTTGGCTTGTAGGTTGGATAGGGTTACTGATATGGAGATGTTCTTTTTGGTGTCCATGTACTTCTCGTTTCCTCGAGGCGAAGGAGGACCGGGGAGTTGTTTTGCTTCCGGGAAGCATGTGTGGGAGTCGGATTTGTTGAGGGCCAAATCTGATTATTGTGTTCGGTCGTTTCTGGCTAAGTCTGCTGGGATTCAGACTGTTATCTTGATTCCTACTGAGTCTGGTGTTGTGGAATTGGGGTCAGTAAGGGCGATTGGTGAGAACCACAATGTACTCAAGGCGTTGAAGTATGCATTTTCACCTCCTCCTGCTCCCGTGGTTCGTCCTAAACCAACTTCGATTTTCCCTATGGTTGTCCATAAGATAGAGGAAGAAGATCCTGTTCCTCTTAATTCTCCATTACCTCCTCCTGTGTCTGCTCCTACTTCTGCCCCTGCACCTGCTCCTGCTCCTCTTCCCGTGTCTGTTCCTCCTCCTGCTCCTGCCCCTGCATCTGCTCCTCCTGCTTCTGTTCCTACTACTGCCCCTGCACCAGTATCTGGTCCTTTTTCGAATGCAAGGCTTGTTGATCGTGGTGTAGATGGGGTTCATAAAATTTTTGGGCAGAATCTAAATACCACAGTTCGCCCTCCCTTCAGGGAGAAACTTGCTGTTAAAAGGATGGAAGATAGACATTGGGATGGCTATGCCAATGGGAATAAGCTTTCTTTTACAGGCCAAAGCCCCAGGAATAACGGTATTCAATCAGTTCAATGTACGAATTGGGCTAACATTCCTGGTGTAAAACATGCGACTGCGACGGAGCTTTATAGCCCTCAGAACACGAGGCTTCAGGAGTATGTGAATGGCATACGAAGTGAGTACCGGCTTAACCAGTTTCACCAGCAAAAGCCGGCCCAAATGGAAATCGATTTTACAGGGGCAACCTCTAGGCCTACAGTGGCTTCTCAGCCAGGTAGTGCTGAGTCGGAGCATTCAGACCCTGAAGTGTCTGGTAGAGATGATAGATCAGGCCCTTCAGATGATAGAAAGCCTCGTAAAAGAGGGCGCAAGCCGGCCAATGGCAGAGAAGAGCCACTTAATCATGTTGAGGCAGAAAGACAACGGAGGGAAAAACTGAATCAGCGGTTTTATGCATTGAGAGCTGTTGTCCCTAACATATCCAAGATGGATAAAGCCTCGTTGCTCGGAGATGCTATTTCTTATATCACCGAGTTGCAGAAAAAGCTTAAAGATATGGAAGCAGAAAGAGAGAAGCATAACAGCACTTCAAGAGAGACATCTGGTACGGAAGCCAACTCTGTTGCAGAGGTGCAAGGACAAGCTCCTGAAGTAGAACTTCAGGCTTTGCATGACGAGGTCGTGATAAAAGTAAGCTGTCCGCTGGATTCTCATCCTGTGGCCAGAATTATCCGGGCATTCAAAGACTCGGAGATCAACGTTGTTGATTCAAAACTTGCTGCAGGTACAGATACCGTGTTTCATACTTTTGTTATAAAGTCTCAGGGTTCCGAACCACTGACTAAGGAAAAGGTGTTGGCAGCGTTTTCGCATGATTCAAAGTCTTTGCAAGCTCCTCCATCAACTGGTGAATAGGAGCATGTAGTTTTCTCTTAATTAGTAGGGTGTAATTGGATAGTAAAGTAGAGGAAAAGAATCCATTGGATGACTTCTGCAGAGGTTTTGATTTTGCAGCAAGGACGAGTTAAAGAGGAATAGGTGGTGCAAAAAATGTCCATTAGAAGTAGAATAACAGCAATTGACAGCAATAGAGTCGTCGCAAATTTGTTTTTGTTCTGTTCATAGTTATACATATTTTGTCATATTGAAGTATTTTAGCAAGGTGAATTAATTGTGTAAGTTCAATATCTTCCTAAATAGTTCATGAGTTTTGTATCTCATAATCAGTTTATCATATTTCCTTTCTCAGCACTCCTTTGCCTTTTTAAATTGTTGAAATTGTTCAATTCCTATTGAAAGTTTGGAAAGAAATGTTTGTGTTTTCCAGTAGTTATGCACGCAGACAGTAACCAATGAGATCCTCTCCCTTAGCAGAGATGGTCCAGTCTCTCAATCGACTGACTGGACCATGTTAGAGCTACGGAAGAGGATCCTCTCCGAATGGTAACATATGACCTACGGAATAACATACAGAGTACGGAAACCTCCCTAGCGCGACAATGCCAATATGCCAGTGCGGCAGTGCCTAGTTCCAGTCGCTATGATGAATTGATGATCTTCATTATCACATGTTACAATTAAGGTAAGGTTGCAATTTATGAAAGGTATGTTATAAACTTATAACTAAACAGACTTTTCAAATTGCCATGTTCATTATACACTGCTCGTATTTAAACTTGTCGCGGTTGTCGGATAACCATTGGTCAGGAAACGAACACACGTTTAACATAAACACATGAAATCCGAAATTGAGCTACAGAAATCTTGGCTGGAATCAATAATTACTTGTATCAGTTGTTTATAAACTCCTTTCTTTTCAAAAGCACCCAAATTATGCAATTCATTTCACGTTGCTGTTGCTGTGTTTGTTATGTCAAATGTTATTAATATCATCATAGTAACTTAAGAAAATTCTTATTTTAATCATCAAATTTTTTTATTATTTTTTTTCCTCCTTAATTTTCTTTTCCTCAGATTCTACTTGAAAAATGGGACCCATAAATATCTTGGACCCTGTTTATATGGGTCCTAGTTTTTCTTTGTGTTTTCGTGAACATGAAATTGATTGATTAAATGATAAAAACCATATAAAATACCCTTGTTGATTTTACTCAATAAAGTGAGTATTTTCACATGATGTTTATGGGGTTCAACTAACTAAAGGTTGGATATTAAATAGGGAAATGGGGATCATGCTATTATATGCTTGCCTTTTTTGTGTGTGAGAGAGAGATTTATTCTAAATCTTATCTTATATGGAATTAATTAAAAGGGAAAAGTTTGTACATGTACATTACCTAATTTTGACTGTATAAATTAGCACTCCTATATTGTGCCCTTTTCTTCTTTGGGTGGGTAGTTGGTAATTTGTTGTTATCATTAAAGTATTACACTCTATTTGAGCTTCGTTTAAGTCCGTGCCTCTGGTCCGCTCTGTTAATCTTATTTGAACTTATTGTGTTTTAAGACAAAATAAGCTTAAATAAATTAACTTTGTTTAATAATTGAATTCTTGTTATCTATCGTTTCAATTATTTGATAGTGTGATGAACTTGAATATGTTAAATCTAGAGATTATTTTTGTTTTAAGGACTAAATTTTTTATCATTCTTGTCAAATTTTCTAATAATTATTGCCCCTTTTCACAAACAAATAATTATGTGTTTCGCGATCAAGCAAATAAATAAAATGTGTTACGCTACCTCCCATATAATGTCATGAAAATATGTCTAGTTAATACCATTCCAAATTGAAATCAATGAATGCGTTGTCTATCCAATTTTGTTTACCTGCAAAAATGGGAATTGTCCTTCCATTTTCAATGTTGTATTTCTTTAGCTTACTGGGTGTGTGATGGGCCTGTTGGCTCTACTATACCACACTATAACATCTTGTGGACGCTATTCCAATTTTCATCTTACAATTATGTTCTTGTACTTATGTGCAACGTGTTTAGCCATATAGGCAGAGCCGCAGAGGTGACAATTGAATTATTTGATCTTAATTTAAGGTTGTTATTCATGTAGAAATTACCGGACTTCACACTCAAGTTATTGGGACAACATCTAGGACATAAAATTTTTATCTTACAATTTACCTTCCAAAAAGCAGATTGAACTTGGCTCATACTCGATCAAAGTACTAACAACAATATTCCTTTTAAGTTTTACCCCAAGTGAATTATAAAGTTTTTTGTCTAATTAAAGAAAATTGTACGCGATTAATGTGACACCCATCTACGACTTGTCTTTGATACTTTTATTTGCCCCACTATTTCTACCCTTTTTTTTTTTTTGGAGGGGGCCATTAACACAACCAATTTGGTCAATATGTCCAACTCTCTTTTGGTGATTTTCAGACTGAAATAAATTCATGTTTATGAACCCATTAAATTCTGTTTTAATAAGTAACAGTTAAATTATAATTATAGTTGAAGCTATATATGAAAGACACGTTTATATAGGGGTCCACAAATCATGTTAATCGTGTTAAGGTGATGGCGTTAATGCTTGACGTATTGAAAGAAATAATTAGCTTGCTTGGTATATTATTAAGCATCATGTTACTAACCATATAAATCATGACAATATTATGCGTAAATTAAACTAGTACAAAGATTTATTCCTAACGTGGGATGGAGTAGAGAATATACAACTCCGTTATCTCTAAAAAAGAGTCAAGAATATAAATCATTTTTACTAAAGGTTAAAAGTGAAATTATCCTAACGTGTTGATCATACAACGATGATTGTGTCTGATATTTCGGGAAGAAAAAGGGAGTTAAAAGATAAAGGGGCTTCGAATAAGTCGTATGTTAAGTAAGCTTTGATGGGGAATATTACTGTTAAGTACGCTAATAACATCATACTAGTAATTAGTATAGTACCCCTTTATAGAAACCTAGAGACCACTCAATTAACTCTTTTCCTTTAGGATTCTCTTTGTTACATTGTTATCAGCTTTGTATGGAGCCCATTTCGATAGTTGAAGGCCATATTATACTGGTAATTGGGCTTGCAAAGTTTGGCTTACAACTGTACTTTATTTTAGTTAAGTCATGGAACTTCTGATCATCAAAATCAAAAAAATTGAAATCATTAATAATTACCATGATAAATTAAATAAACTATGTATGTATTCAATGGAGTACATGTTTAACAGTTGTGAATTATTTGTAACACTTTTACTTTTGCCAATTTTATGAACTACTTCTTATATCTTAACTTTAAAAAAAAAAAAAAATTACAAATTTTAATAACTTTTTTTTTTTCCAATCACATATTTTATACTTGAGCTCATTTCAACTTTTCTTATATGTTTTATCTGAACCTATTAACTCTAAAATAAGTGGAAGTAACATAATCTAAGAACAGCAATGAGCCAACGAGGGAATATAGGATTTCATCTATAAAATACTTACAGAATATAAGAAAAAGAATGATGGCATCAAAAAAAATTTAAAAAGATTTATTTTTTTCACTCATATTTTGCACTAGCTTATATGAACTTTTCTTATAAGTTTTATTCGAACCTATTAACTCTAAAATAAGTGAAAATAACAAATCTAAGAACGGCAATGAGGGAATATAGGATTTCAATCTATGAAATACTTGTACAATATAAGAAAAAGATTGATGGCATCAGAAAATATGAATTATTTGAATATGAAAAATATGATACCCCATTTCACTATATTCCCATATACGTTAATTTGCTATATCTTATCTTATCAAAAAAAAGTATAGATATATGGACCCATAAAAAATTACTTGTACTTGGCTAATTTACTTCATATGAACTTTCCTCATTTCATTATATTTGAGCATTCAAATGTATTCTTCTTGTTGGAAGCTAGCAGAATTTCTGAATTACTATCAAAATGAAGTTTCCTTGATCATACAAGGCCAAAATAACGACATTTATTTCTTGATAAACAGAGAATAAAAAAAAAAGGGATAAATAAAATAATTGACTTCAAAATAACAAATAAGGTGGACGTGCCGGAGTGGTTATCGGGCATGACTAGAAATCATGTGGGCTTTGCCCGCGCAGGTTCGAATCCTGCCGTCCACGCTTTTTTAATTGTTTTTGGAATAAAAAATAGTATTGCTCTGAAATTAGAATTGGAAATTGGAAATATTTTCTTTCAAACTGAACATGATATTTGTAATGTAGTATCCATGGAATTACTTTCAAAAGAATTCTTATAAAATGAGATCCTTGTTGAAGTAATTCTTGCTGTCTATAATTATCTTTGTCACTTCACATTAATTATTGGCGTTATCTTATACTTCCTCCGTTTTTTTTACTTGCAACACAGCATTGTGGCACGTGTTTTGAGGTCGGGTTTATGTAATGTAAACGGATAAATTATTCATTATAATTTTTACAAATGATACTTAACCCTATTCTAATCTTCGTGTACAAATTATATTGATAAAATAGCTCGTTTACCCTCACTAATCATCTCCTAAAATTGCGTGCCTAAAAGGTGTGTTGCAAGTAAAAGAAAACGGAGAAAGTATTTCATACAATTAAACGCTTTTTTTTTTTCCTGTCAAAAAAAAAACTCGTATTTTCATTAGTAATAATAAGATCAAATAAAGTACATGCTACATTAAAAATCCCAATTCTATTTTACCATTAATTTAGTTTAATTACCAACAATGTCGTCCTAAGTGTTCTTAGAAGGTCAACAAACAGCGAATTTCATTAACAATGTAGACCTGTAGTTGCTTCGTATGCAGTCCAACGCCTAACGAGCTTGCAACGTGAGTTTATAAAACTTTAAGTCACCCCAAAATAGCTTACCAACTAGAAAAAAATAGTAAACATATTAAAATAAAATTAAACTAAGCCGAGTCAACTAATTACCATTACCAAGACTATAATCAATGCGCAATTCTTACCATTAAGCCATGAAATTTAAAGAGTAGAATTAGACAGGGGCCGCGCGAACGCAGGCCCCAGCTATCACAAATTATGACGTAGACTCTCCCCGTTGGGGAGATCTTAGGCTGATGCGCTTCCGAAGTGCAATGGAGGCCATCACCCTAGGCCATGGGCCTTCTTGATCGCCCATTGACCCCGTCCAGGTAAGTATATTATCCAGTGGCTTTGCTTTTCTTTTTAATCTTTCGCTTCCGGTAGTTATGCCTTCTTATTTCGATGTGGGATACATATTC